ATTAGTAAATATCATAAATACTTTTATTCTTTTTTCGTGTTCGTTCGAGAATCACTATAATTTCTACTAACATTGCAATGCTCTCGTGGTAATATCGACAAGCACGTACCACAATTGCTTATCAAACACTCCGTTTTCCAAATTATATAATTTTGAATTCATGAAAAAAATTATTTTATGCAGTTTATTACATATTATTTTTATTACTATACTCATATCTTTGTCATAAATAAATGTCATGTGATATTTAAACTTATAATTATTCTTTGTAAATTATATATAGAAAATATAATCATTATATTATTAATAGTCTTCATAATGTTATTATTAAAGTTATTATGAAACTTATTGAATTATCTTTTAATTGATTCTTATTAAATTTCTCATTATACTTGTTATATTTAAGGTTTTCATTCGAAATAATAGTACATTAATGACTGTACGAACTCCTCAAAAAGTTTCAAATCATGTAAATAACATATAAATTAGAAACAAAAAAAATTTTAAGAAAATAAAACTAAATATTTAGTTGATTTGAAAAATATTTGTGTATTATTCTTCGATTTTTTTTTTAATTACTTTTAATTAATTCATGGTTATCATTATTGTTTAATGCAAATGGACTTAAAAGGATACTTTGTTAATCTACCTAGTTTTTTTTTAGGGCAATTTTTGAGTTTTTTTTCTTTTTTGTTACTTTTATAAGTTATTACACATTGTAAGTTATCCTGTATAAATATATCTATTCTTTCAGAATCCTTATCATTATTATAAATTATTACTAGGTACTACTTTACCACTGATATTAATATTATTATTTACCAAAAAATAAACGTAATCCGAGTTCACCAACAAGTGATTTATTTGTGTTTTCCATGCTGTGTTTGCAATTTATTATTATCCTCCTTGTCAGCATATCAATTTATTATACAGCACTGTTTCTCCCCCTCCCCTTTCCATCAATAGTTCAACTCTTTACCCGTTTAAACGTGACTAGGTCACCCGTACTCCTGTGCAGCGTACACTAAACTGTCTTTATCCGGCGCAATCATGTTTTATTGTACTACTCGTCCATGAAGTCGATACAAATTATTCTTATTATTTTATCAATGTGATTTTTACGTGATCCTTTACCGCCATAATTTTAACAACATTAGGTGTGAAAACCAATGACATCAAAAAGGAGTTGAACAAATGCTTTAAACAATTTATACATATAGCACGATGGACAAAAATTTTTTTTTCTAAAATACATCATTCGATTAATTTAACTTTAAAATTTTAAAACTTTTTAAAATATTAACAACTTTAGTTAAAAAGTTAACAAAATATCAACTCCCTAAGTCGTTAAAAGTTTTAATTTTCCAAAGTTAAATATCAATAAAAATTTAACTATTAAACGTAGAATAATTAAAACTTCCGATTATAGTCAAATATAGTCAAAACATGCAAATTTGAAATTCTCTTAATATGAAGGTTATAAACCATATATTTACAAGTTTAGAAATTAATTTTGCTATTCGTATTTCAAAATTATAATTCATGTTGATGACAGTTATTTGATATAACATATAATTAATATCAGTAGTGTTCCCGTAGGGTATACTATATACGTCATATACTCTTAACATTTTGAATTCATGGGTATACTATTACACATATTATTTTAAAACCAAAATGATAAGCTTATAATATAACCTTTAGACTATAATTAAATAATTTATTAAAAACAAAAATTTGTTTTTCGGAATAATTAGATTTAGAATAATATGTGTAAATTTATTTAAAATTTTTTCGTTAGTCAACCATAAATGTACCCATGTGCCATGTATGAGTAATTATTTAAATTAATAATTCTGTGAAAATAATTTAAATATTATGTACATGAAAACAACGTTGTTAATTTTTCAGTAAGATTATAAAAAACCACATGAATTATTTCAAAACCGTGGATAGACAGTTGAAAAGTACGATAAATACACATTTCGTATGTCAAAACTTTAACTAATTTTTAATTAGTCAATTTTCAAGATAGAACAAAACTTTATAAGTCAAAGTTGTTTAAAAAAAACTAATTTAATCTAAATAAGAACTCAAAAATAGAGTTTACTATTAAAAAAAAAAAAATTGTTATACTGCGCATGCACGGGAATAAAATGTTAAAACTTTGCATTTTTTAAAAAAAAAGTGTCATCACGTCTTTTTACAGATTAAAACCCCAATAAAATACAAGGTGACACGTTGGAAATATTTTATTGCCTTTATCGTTGAACACACTGTTTATATCTATCAATGTCACATTTTGACGTAATTGAGATCATTGAGTCGATCTTAATGTAGAAAGTGTACAAAATAATTCTTACAATAAAAAATAAAAACCAATTTAATTATGTTACATCACTTTTCCTACATTATATTTAAAAATGTTATGCATACATTAGAAATTGGTCAGTTTAATGTTTTTATTCCCGAACATTGTCACAATATAACATTGGTCATTCTTACACCAAGCTACAAGTAGGTATGTATCGGCGATTGTGAACTGCACCGAATGCACAGGTTAACACAAAATCGTACAAGTAAACTCCGCCCGCGTTTTTATCGAGTGAAAATAATGACAAGTAAATTGCCCCCGAGTTTTTATCGAGCGGAAAAAGTGACAAATAAATTGTACCCGAGTTTTTATGGAGTGGAAAAGTGTAATCAACAAAATTCATGATTGTGGCTTACATTTCGTTCAGTTATTCTATCGTCGTCGCCTGCCGTTTTTAAAAATACTCTGATGGTTTTGAATGGGAGAACATCACCACTAAATCTCACCTGAACTTAAAAGTCAATTGGTTTCAACGAAACTTAAAATTTTAAATTAAACTTAAACTTCAATGATTATAAGTAAAGACAAGATATAATTGCGTTAAAATGTCTGAATTAAAATTTATAGTTATATACATATCTAAATTGTGTTCTTGAAAATTGTATCGTCTGTTACTTAAAATATGTTTATATAATAAAAAATTACGTTCAAAGTCTACACTAGTTATGGGTGTATATTTAAAATAATTTAAAAGATTTGGTGTTATATTTAAATCAACATTTTGATTTCTTACCATAACCTCAGAGTAAATTTGAATAGTTTTATATCCTTCATTTTTTCAAAGACATATTTTAATTTATCGTTAACTATTATCTCATTGAGACTGGGAATATTTATCAAAATATTTTCAATTTCACTAAATATGTTTAAACTATTAAATAACTGGCTATTTGATTCTTCTAAATATGTGAGTTGTATGGATAATTCAGATAAATATAATTTTAAAAAAACTACATTTAAGCTGCTTATACACTGGGGGAACTATTTGTGCGCGGACGCGATTAAAAATCGCCTATCACCTATCATTGCACAATGGTCGGTTTGTTCGTTCATAAACGCGATTTTAAATTGCCTGTGCCAATATATAAAATAAAATAGCTAACCATTACCTCGTGGTTACTCGTGATGAAAAGCCATTTTCTGTGCTATTTCGTATATTTTTTAAATAATTTTTGAAAAGCACTATTGTGTATTACATTAAATTTAATTGTAATTTTTTTATATGGATTTATCTAAATTAGATAATGTTCAAACTATTTGTCATACATATATATTAGGTATTAAAAAAAAAAAAAAAAATAGAAGCAAAACAAAAAGCAAAGGCATTATTGAGTTCATCAAGGCTTAATAAATATGTTTTCCTCAAATCTTGTATATTTTTCTGGTAGCTTTAATTATTTATGATTTGTACTTTTCTAATAAATTGTAGCTATATTTATTATCATAATAAGTTTTTGCAAGAAAATTAAAATTTTTGCTATTACTAAACATCATTTATTTTTTATCAAATATTTTAGAATAAATTACATTTAATTTAGGCAATATCAGTTAAAATACCGATCTTTCACTCTATAGTGTGCAAATTATATTTTTCAAAACATTGTAACAACAAATAATGCAATTTTTGCATGCTTCTTTTTTAACAATACTAAAACAGTGATTTTTAGAACCATTTTGCATTACTTCACTTCCATTTTCTCCACTTTCTTCATCAATATTATTCTCAAAAACATTCTCGGAAGCGATGGCAATATTTTTTATTTTGGGCCATTTATAGATGAAATTTTTAAGTTCTGCCTCCCAAAAGTTATGTTGTGGTCAAACCGTTTCAATTTACTACTCATCCATACAAAATCAATTTTTGGTACATCTTTATTCAAATATTCAGGAATTAAGTAGGATATATCATTATAGAGCTGACTATGACTTTCAAATCTTTTTTCTAAACTTGCAAAACTTTTTCTCCTGGCTTTTTTTTTTCTAGTTATAAATGTGTCCAAAAATAATCGAGTCACATAGATTGAAATATGTAATAGTTGTAGTTTATAAAAATGATATTTTTAAGCATTACATTTGTTACATCAGCATGAAGAACAGTATTAAACTAATAATCAGGGTTCGTAAGTTCATGCCTTAAAAAATGCCTAAATAAGCATGCATTTATTCACTTAAAAAATTGGCAAAATATGTTTTGAAATATTCCTTAAAAAGTTAAAAAATATGCATTTATATACACTAAATATCTAAAATTAAAAAAATACTTATTTAAAAAAATCATAAATGATTTTTGAAATAACATAAATTATTCATTCATTTTTTTTTTATAGCTATATTTTTTTTTATGTCACAGTTAAAAAAAAAATAGATTTTAAATACTTTTTAATACTATTCTCGAGCCTTCATGAACTGCGTATAATGTACGTCTTTTGTCAGTAGTTAATTTTAAATCTGAAACTTTTGAAACAAATTAATTCATTAAATGTACGAGTATCAAGAAGATAAGAAAAGAAAAGATAATACAATTACTATTTTTAAAATAAAGAAATAAATTTAGAATAAAAACATACGTCAGTCGACATGTGATATCATTGATAACAGAACGTCCGTATCACTGATAACAAAATAGTTTGCTATTAAACGGCTGAACATTGTGTATTCGTACGTTGGTGTACGCGTGCGCGTTCGTGTTTTTTTGTTCGGACGTTCGCCCTAGAGGATAAACAATTCTCTTTCTCGATCTCGATCTCCCTCACTCTCTCTGTCTCTCTCTCTATGAGTTACAGAGTTGTTAGTACTCAGTGCTCAGACAGGTAGATCTTTTCGTGATCCACCCACGATGTTTTTGTCCGTAAACGCGTATTCCGTTCATTCGGTTGACGATCAGTTATAAACGGTAAGTACTGTTTCCAATTACGTATAGCTCTACTATGTTTTGAACTAAAACTTCCATTGCACACTAACAATACACATTCGAATGTCCATTTCAGATAATTTGTCCCATTGCTCAAAACAATAATTCAATACAACGATGGAATTTCAAACCACAAGAATCGAGAACAAAGATCTGTGCAATGTACTTCTGAAATGGGCAAGTATTATTAATTCGCATTATGCTCATATACATTAAAAAAATACTTGTTATTTAGTCACTTAAAATGGTTAAAGTATATATAGTAATATGTATACGATAAACTTGATATGACTTTTATCTATCTTAAAATACAATAACATTAACAAAAAGTAAGTTTATCAATAAAACATTTTGTTTTTAAATAAGTTACTTACTATAAAACAATAATTTACTTACTGATATGTAAATAAGCTCCATATTTTATATAAATTAATTATTCTAGTTGATATTAATAATTAATATTGTGTCCATATTTTTAGTTGCAAACATTACACCTTAAAAGTCCACACCGTACTCTATATGATATTACTGATGGTGTTGCTCTAGCTGAGGCATTAAACCAAATGTAAGTATTTGTATGGTTATTGTTTGTAACAAAACTTTTTTTTTTCAAAAAAATTTACTTTTTATCACTATAAATTACTATAAATATTTGCAAAAGAAAAAAATTGAAACACGGTTAATTTCAATAAAATATTTGTCTATAAAAAGTAAACTGTGGTTCAGAACAGAGTTGAACTACTTACTAAACAAAGACAGATTTGATAATGTGAAGATCCTGGTATGGCCAGAAAACTTTGGACCTAGCACACATTATACATAAATCATTGGAAAAAAATAATAATTTCTATTTATTACATGCATTTATTCATGATGTTTGTAAATTTATGGATTATTATTTTTATCATTTAATATAAATTTTATTGATATATAAATATCTAAGAAATAGGTACTGTTAATAAAACTGTATTTTAATTAAATCGATGATTACAAAAATGTCATTGGTCACATTTTTATGAAATCCAGTTATTAGTATAAACGTCTTTAGTTAACATTCTAAAGATGTTTTTACACTCAACTCTTAAAAACACATGATTAGTAAATTTTTTTACAAATAAATTAATTTCATAAAATATGTGACTTGTCATTCTACAATCATCAATTCAATTGCACTTTTGAGTCTAATCAGCCAAATTTAATATATTTCCTGTTAATAATTTTAAATTAAAGATAAAATAATATTTAATTTTTAGTGCTCCTGAATGTTTTGATGATCATTGGTTTTCAAAAATTAAAAAAGATGTTGGAATTAATTGGAGACTGAAGGTAAATTATTTGTGTTATTTTTAAACATATTCTATTTCTATTTAAACATTTTCTAATTAATAAGTAAATGTTAATATAACATAAATATTTATACATCTGTATTATTTATAATTTATTATTATTTTTATTTGTAAACTAATAAAATCTATTTAACTCAACTTTAAAAAAACTAAATTTTTTATTTTTTTATGTTTTTCATTAGAATAAGTTTCAGCATTATGGCCATTAGTTTTTATGTTTTTATTAATCATATGTATATTGAATTATATTATTTTAATGATGATTATTTTGTATATAAATAAATAAAATATAAATAAATATTTAATTCACATTTTTATATTAAACTGTCAATACGAATGAAAATTTTGATTTCATTTCAAAGTGGAGAATTATCTTTAAATCAAACGTTTTGTTTTTTTTCTTACTTTGAATTTAAATGAAATTAAATAATGAATTTATAATAAAATAAAATAATTTTATATTCATGTATATTGAGTTTAATAAGTTAGAACAGTTAAGAAAAAGTTAGAACTTAAAAAAATTAATAAAATAGTAAAATTAAAAAATTAAGAACTCGTTAAATTCTAAGACTATTTTAAAATTATATTTAAATATTTTTTATCTAAGTATTGCTACAATAAATAGGTAGCTCTACAGTGTGAAACTAACAATAAATAATCTAAAAAAATTATTATTTCAGGTTAGTAATCTTAAAAAAATTGTGGGAAAGATTCATGATTTTTATCAAGAGTGCGACACACAACATATGGGAATTTTTGTGAAACCAGATGTTTCCAAAATAGGTAATTAATTTAACAAAGTTCTGGAATGTTAAACGAAATACTGAAATTTTAACTTATCATATATTTATACAATTAGCTAATTTGTTTTCTTTACTCAGGTGAACAAGATGATACTATAGAGTTAGCTCGTTTATTACAACTAATTTTAGGTTGTGCTGTTAACTGTCGAAATGCACAAAGTAATGACTAATAATTATTTTAATATACAAGCAATAAATTCAAATGAGATGATTGTTTTAGATTATATTACAAACATTAGATCAATGGATGAAAATTCCCAAACTGTTATAATGCAATGTATACAGGATTTAGAAAGGATACAAGGACATCCACAAAGTATTATCACTACAAGTATTGGAGTTGATAATGATCACCATGAACAAATTCAACAGCTTATTGATGAGCTTCAAGCTGTAACTAAGGCTAGGGATCAAATGACTCAACGTTGTCTTGAACTTGACTCGCAAGTAATTATTTTTAAAATCTTGCTTTATGAAAAATGCTTTATGTTTATATGAAAATATTTAAAGCCATTTGCCAAATAATAAAGATTTTAAAATAATTATTGTTGGTTTTTTTTCAGATAAGCTTATTACAAGAAGAAAAAACATACATTTTAGATGAAAAAAAACATTTAGAAGAACGACTTTTAGAAAGTGTTGAGGATCCATTAAAAGGTAGTGGTCAGAGAAGGCAGATCGAAGAACTGAAAGAAGAATTATATAAAGCTGAGACTTGTAAGTTAAATAATTTATAATTTATTTCTAAAGTATTAAATACAAAACGTGAAAAAAATATGTGTTTTATTATATATATTTATTTTTTAATATTTTATATAATTATTGTTGTTAAAAGTGAATTACAACCATAAAATCGTTACATATATTAACCAAATTAATATATTACATTTTAGCTAGAGATGACTATCAGATTAAACTGGAAACTCAAGAAAGAGAGATGGCAGAAATTAAAACAAAGTTTGAATTATTACAAGAAACTGCTGGAGAAGCAAGATTATTAAAAGACGAATTAGATATTCTTCGTGATACTGCTGATAGAGTTGAGAAATATGAGTCAACAATACAATCCTATAAAAAAAAACTTGAAGAACTAGGAGATTTGAAACGGCAAGTAAAGATATTAGAAACAAAAAATATAGCATATATCCAACAAAATATGGAATTAGAACAAGTAATTTTTTTTGTAGTTTAAAATTCTTTAATTATTGATTATTTGTAATAACTAAAAAAAATATATATACTACTTATACTGTTTATGTATGTTCATGTAGGAAATTAAAAAAGCTTCTGTTTGGAAATCTCAATTAGAAATGTATAAAAAGCAAGTTACCGAACTTCACCATACATTAAATGATGAGACAAACAAAGTTGATAAATTGGAATTTGAAACGAAAAAGCTATTGGAAAATTTGAACACTTTACAGAAAGAAAAAGATGTAATAAATCTATAATAAAGTTGATATTTTTATAATTTTTGATAAATCAATGTTTATATTTTTAGAGATTAGTGATTGAGAGGGATTCATTAAAAGAAGCAAATGAAGAATTGAAGTGCTGTCAGACCCAAATGAAAAAAACCAACACAATTGATCATTCTCAAATAACCACTGGTGAAGATATGGAATCAGCAATGGACCTAAAGTTTGTTAAATTAACCATTTGCCTGTATAATTATATAGCTATTTATAACTATGAATTTATAGACAAAAATTAGTAAGATTACAACATGAGAATACTATGCTAAAAATGAATCAAAAAGAACCGGAAGAAGATAAAATTTCCGTATTACAAACTTTATTGGATAACACAAGACAACAGTACAATGAACTGCGTTTAGATAATAGGTACCTTATTTAACAATAATTATATTTTTCGTGTTGATTCTTATTTGGTTATTATTTATCACAATAGTTTTGCATTCTATATTTTTTTTTATTATTATTAAAAAATATTAAACAATTATTGGTAATTAGTATTAATATTGAAAATTATTGAATCATAGGAAAGCAAATCAAAAGATATTGGAATTGGAATCTGAATTAAAAGAACAAAATGAAGAAAATAGCGATGAATGGAAGTCAAAAATTAAAGAACTGCAAACTCAACTTCAGTGTGAAAAAGATACAAGGTCATTGGACATAGAAGAAAAAAATTCTACAATATCAGACAAAGGTTTTGGATAGTTAATTTTATAGATATAACTTAAAAGGCTTATTTAATTTAGTAATTTTGAATTTTTTAAGTTATTTCAAAAAATTTAGTATTCAAAATTCATCCGTATTATTTCCGAATTGTGTTTTAATAATCTTAAATACTTTATCATGGATTTTCAAAAATTTTATTTATATTTTCATTCATGTTATAATTAATAATCATAAATGTTATTACAAAAAAATTAAAAAATCAAATTTATTTACTACATACAAATAGTGATAAATATAATAACTTACTGACCAATAAAATTATTTATTTTATTTACATTTCAGATCAATTAATAAATATACTGCAAGTATCTCTTCATCAGAAAGATATAGAATTACAAGAATGGGAAGAGAAACATAAAAAATTCATAGAAAAAGCCAAATCTGTGGTGAAATGTATGGACACTAAAAGTGTATCATCTGATAGTGATATAAGTGTATTACAAAGTAGGCTATTGAAAGCCAACAAAGAAATAAGTGATTTAAAGGTAAAAGTTTTTTATTTTATTATTCATATTATTAAATAATTATCACTATTAACAAATGACTTCTTTAAAAATTCATAATGCTAAATTGTTTCTTATACATAGTAGTTAAAACCCAAATATTTTATAAATGTTAACCAATTCATAATTCTAATCATATTACATTTTTATTTTCATAGAAAAATATTTTAAGTAACAAAAAGTTTATTTTATTTCAGAGAGAACAAGAAAATTATAAAGCTTTACAAGAAACTGAGGAAAAATTAATATCTACTGCATTTTATAAATTAGTGAGTTATTGTTACTAATAATGATTAATTCTAGTATTTTATTTAGCCTATTTATATCATAATAAATATATAACTTCCTATATAAATTAAATCCTGCTATTATAAGATAAAGTAATTTATTTGAATAGAAACTGTTAACAATTTTAAATGTTTTAACATATTTTTTAAATAAAATATAAATTCATATAAGCCAAAAATATTTTTATACCAGATTTATTTATTATTTCTGTTTTTGTTGTTATATAATAAAAAATAAAGTATAGATTTTATTTATTTTTAATATTTATTCTTATTTGCAGGCACAAACCAAAATGCAAGAATCAGTTGACCAGAGAGTAATGAATCAAGGACTACTCAATAGCCAAACATTTTTATCAAAACATAGACAACAAACAAATAAATCTGTAGAATTGCCTGTTATCTCAAAATCATAATTAGTTGCTGAAACTTGAATTTCTGAAATATTGATTTCGTTTAAAATTTATTTTTTCATTATATAAGAAAGAGTTATATCTGATTTTCTTATAAAAAATTTACATTTTTTTAGTGAGTTAATGAAAAATAATTTTATATTAAGTGCATAAATTTATCTATGCTTATATTTCGCCATAGATATACTAGTTCTGTTAAAATTGTGACATAATAAGAATCAATAATATTTTTTTATGTAGGATAAATCTGTAACTAATTGTTTATTGAAAAATTTAAATGAAAATTATTTATTATTTGCATATAAAATTAGTAGATAAAAAAACAGTCAATGAAAAAAAACTTAATTTTGAAAATATATGGGTAGAATAAATTAGAGAATGATAATATATTTTAGACTTTCTCGTTATAAAAAATAATATTTAAAATTGATTATATTTGTTTTTTTAATATTATATCATTAATAATTTATAAAAAAAAAATCAAGGTAAATATTGACATTTAGATTATCTTGCAAAAAATATATATAGGAACTGGTATTCTCTTGATATTGATTATTTTGTTATCACTTTTACAACTATAGTTAAATATTTTATACAGTTTATGTTGAACAAATAATATATTTATTCCTATTTTACTTTATATTTTGTAAATTAAATAGAAAATGATAACTTTTTTGAGAATAAAAGATAAATCTAATGTTCTGGTAAAATATTTATAAATGCAAAATAAATTTATTCAATTAATTATTAAATATAAATTATGTGCATTCTTGTTAATTATAATGAAGATTTTAATATATTTCATAATATTTTTAAAATTAAAAAAAAATATTTCCAAGAATATATAATGCAATCATGGAATGTTTAATGTTAATGATTCACTTTATATGCAATGAAAATGTAATATTAGATTGGCACTACTATTAATATATTTTGTGATTCCAATTTTTATATGTAAAATGATTATTGTCAACATATAACCCACCTACTGATCCCATATTTTAAATTGGTACTTTTGGTACTATATTTTATAGTTATTATCTTAACATGTTAATAATTCTTAAAGGAAAACTTTATTTTTTTAAATTATTTTATATCATTGTAAATTAAATGTCTTTCTGTGTAATAATAATAATAGTATTTTGGCAATATTTAAAACAATTATTGTTAAGTTTATAATGTTGTGTATCAGTATTGTAAAATCATGATATTTTTGAATGGATATTATTTTTTTATTGTACGTTTTTATATCACTGTAAAAGTATACTTTTTTTATACACCATTATTGTTCAGATACTGAAATTGATTAGTGAATATAGTTATATTAAATTAAAATATTTAAATAATATTTATTTATTATGTTTATACACACAATTGTTTTAATTGATAAATTTCATAATGTTTATAATACATGTGTATTGATTATTGAATTGAATATATTTTATAATAAATAAAAATTATTCAAATTTTGTTTATGTTATTTCTAAATACCTCTTATTGACAAAAAGCATATACTTAAAATTGTGGTCTTAAAATTATACATTTATAATAATCTGAGTAATTTAAAATTCATTCATAAATTCTAATATTTTATTTGTAATTCATGTTCGTAATAAATTACTCAACTTCTTATTCGCCGTTTATTGGTGATTACATGGAATAGATAATACTCTAAATTATTTAGATTTTTTGTGCATAACCAGGTTACATTTTAGAAATATTCTACTACGATGCTTTCAAATATTCAAACTAAAAAACCTTATTTTTTTAATTGTGGTCGAGTACGAGTTAAGAAATCCCAACTCGTTCTACGGCTCGATCATCTAACACTTTCTGTTCTTGTTCGCTTTTTTTTTAATTCGAGGCGTATTTAGGAACAGGTACTGTATAGGCACAGCTCCGTGGGTATTGGTGGCGTGATGGAGGCCATTACACCTAGACAAATTGCGTCGACGTCTAGCGTTTACACATTCCTCGTGAAATACAAAAATTTCACGTCACCACTGGACCGGGACAAGAATGACGTCGTTAGAGGGAGAGAAAAAGGGTTGTCAAACTCGTATGCATCTTAAGAATAGTTTCATAGAAAGGATGGAATGAAAAAGTAGACGGATAATACTAATTTGATGCATTACCGTTAAGAAGGCTTTTTACTCTGAACGCAACTGTGTTATGTTAATAACTTTTGGCACATGATATGATAAGTTATAAACGGATATTTAACAATTAAATTTGCATAAAAATAGCAAAAGGAAAAATAATATTTTTACTATTTTTCAAATGATACTAATTGTATTTAGGCACACGCGTTATACGTAACTCGACGATAATCCTTGATCCGACAGTGCATTCATTAATATGAAAAACAAACGATTCCTTTATTTGCCGGTTTCGACGACGTTACGTATTGCAATTATTTTTGTCACGTGTTTCTGAATATGAGAGTAAATCAAACTTCACAACTGCAGTTTCGTTTCTACAATAATCCAGCAAAATGATAATGATATATAAAAAAATGTATCGACGAATGTACAAATACATTTATTATTATACATTGATTTTGATTGTTTTTAAGCGTGAAAGCTACGGAAGGAAGTGTTCACTGTGCTGTAACATTTTTATACTAACCTGATATGGTCGATAATTAGATTTACAAACAAAATTGACGAAACATAACAAATGGTTTTTTGTCTCAAAGTCCGTCGATTATTTTTTATGCGATTTCATATAATACAGTGCAACGTATATGTTTTTATATAGTACATAGTGGTTGCGTTTAGTCAAAGCTAAAAACTAGACTGGACGGCCGTAGGGCCGCGGAGAAGAAATCGGGGCCCCTTTTTGCCCCATACATACATATACACTTTCAACTAATTCAAAATGCCACTGACATATCGATGAGTTTTCGAGTTTAGATTAAGTTTCTAAATTTTTTGTGAATATTTTGATAGCATTCATTCCAGCAGCTCACCTTGTATCCGAAAGAGAGTGAAGTGATTCTTACATTTTTTATTTCAAAATCTCCCTTCGTTGTGTAATGCTAAAAAAAATATTGTAGCATATCTTAACGACACCAAAATAAGTGATCGCTCGGGAATAAGATTCTGCGGAATCGATTCCGACTAAATTTGATGTGTGAGCTCCTCAAGGCGAATACACCGCATACCCACTCATTTTTACGATGAATGCAATTCTGCACGCTTTTATATTTTCTTGTCGTATAACTACAGTTATCCCTGCCCTCAACAATCAATCAAAGTAATAATGATTATGTATAAATAAAAATTATATTATATTAAACAACATCAAATTTTCTATAGATGTTTATTTTACGACAACATTTAAATCTCTTTTTATCGTGACATACATCAAATTGTAATTAGTGAAGAATTAGTAAAGATCGTTAAATTAAATAGAAATACAAATAATTAAAAATAGTTACAATTTGTGTATTTTATATAATTATTAGGGACCGGATTTATATGCAAATGCATATATGTATTGGAATAAGCTTTTTAAAATCTGATAAGCATTGTCCCCGATTTAGATCTTTCTTATTAAAACAACACTAATATTATTTTGCATATTTCAACGTTTTTACCTATTAAATGCGTATTTAATGTATATTTGTATTTTTATAGTGCATATTATTATTAATAGCACATATATTCGTTTTCGTCGTATTTTCACGATCACAGTCACATAATATCGATAAAATTGCTACCGGTCCTTATTTCCAAAGATAAGATTACATACTCATATCATCCAATGCAATAAGGTAAAATATGAATTCAATTTTTGTTTTCATTTTTTATTAATGTTGGTACTTATACTTTATAGATTGAAGATAAATAATGTTAAATGGCGATAAAGTGGACAAAATATTTTAAAAGCTTTTTATACTTTTTTTAATACCGTATTAATTAATGATTATTTTTACATTTATAATATTTGTAAATAATTTTAAACAGCATTTTAATGAATATTTAAAAATAAATACATATTTTATAGCATATTACAGCATTTTTAGAAGCATATTTTGAGGATTTTTTGTGCATATAAATCTGGTCCCTAGTTATTGTACATTATAATAATTAATTGGGCGAATTACTCACAATGATAATATGGTTTAATTAAATATAGTGTATTGCAGATACCGACTAATAAAATATGTTACTCGTAATTTGTTTATTTTCCGAACATTGCACATTCGAAAACCTTCTCATTAGTGTAAGCAAACAAAACCAGACCAGCATTGCAATCCTCGCGTTCCATCGCATATGCGAGTACATCCGTAGATCTAGTCATTAATATTTAGATATACTCATTTAGTATTCTTCAATAGATCTATATTATGTACAATACATTCTCTGCTCGTATGGAGGACTTAGTGGTGGGCATATATAGAATTAGCCCCCCCTCCTATGTAATGTTAACTAGTTGCCGTTAATTTTACTGATTACACTATACACTTTTATAGTACGTTTGTACTTTGTTGTTGACTTGTAATTAAATAACAACTAATGTTTATATTTTTAATTGTATAACACTGAACACTGTAATTGTTCTTTTTGGATTGAATAATGCCTTTGTACTCAAAAAATAATTGTATGAGTCAGAGGTGGATAGGTAGTTTTTTTGTTACAGAGAAATATTTTAATGGGACCACTAAAATGAAAAAAAAATTCGCTTATAAAAAATGTATTATATTTACTCGTCCTAATTTAATTTAAATAATTTAACTATAAAAAAAATAATAAATTTTTATGAAAAAATTAGTGGTATCGAGGGGGCTACCGACATAATATAGGACAAGGGCCCACAGGGAAAAACCCTTATTTCCTATGAACCTATCCACCCCTGATATGAGTATTTATCAAACTTGGTTAATATTCCGATCACTGTTTTAACATTCGATCACATTATCTAAATAACTTCGTTAATTTTCCATATAAATCGCATTTGTACTCAAATATTTTATTAATATTTTATAGTATTATTATATTATTTGGTTTTCTACTATTTTTATACAGTGAGCAGTTAAATAAAGGTTAATCATTTTAGTGGGTCAATTTTCAAAAATGAAAAGAGTTCAACTAACGTGGAAAAACTTTTTAAAAATATTTTGACCAATCTATTTTGTTATCTGGAACTGTTTCTCATTCCTTTCTTAAAACCATCTGGTTAACCAATATATATGCTAATACGCCTG